GTGAAGGGTTGGCCTACGCCCAAAACAATGTCTGATGTTCGGAGTTTCCTAGGTTTGGCAGGATATTATAGGCGTTTTGTAAAAGATTTCTCAAAAATTTCTAAGCCTATGACTACTCTAATGAAGAAGGAAAGGAAGTTTGAGTGGAATGATGAGTGTGAAAAAGAATTCCAACTCTTGAAAGAGAAGTTGGTCACATCACCAGTGCTAACTCTGCTAGACGATAGTGGTATTTATGATGTATATAGTGACGCATCAAAGAATGGTTTGGGGTGTGTACTTATGCAAAATGGAAAGGTGATTGCATACGCATCAAGGCGATTAAAAATCCATGAAGTAAATTACCCAACCCATGATTTGGAACTTGCTGCAATTATCTTTGCACTAAAGATCTGGCGTCATTACTTGTATGGAGTGAAATGTAGAATTTACACAGACCATAAGAGCTTGAAGTACATTTTCACTCAGAAGGATTTGAACTCTCGCCAAAGGAGATGGTTAGAGTATACGACAGATTATGGTGGTTTAAACAAAGCATTCTAGGGTGTTACAACAGATGGACCTGAAGCACTCGCAAGCTTGAAAAAGAAGAAATTAGGGTGGTTTAAACAAAGCATTCTTTGGGAGCTACCGTATTGGAAGACTCTTCTCCTCCGCCACAACCTCGATGTCATGCATATTGAAAATACAAGAAACGGTCGCAATATTATTTGCGACCGTCAAGTGGTCGTAAAATCTCTTTTTTGCGACCAATAAAATTACGACCGATGAGTTGCGACAGTTGATGGTCGCAATTACTATTTATGATAGTTTTCCTTATTTTCAACGACCGTTGTTGGTGGTCACAAATTACTGTTTTTTTAGTAGTGAGCAGCAGCAGACTAAGCTAGCAGTAGTGGTGGTAGCAACAACCACCACGCCCCTTCAATTCTCTCCCTTTCCTGTACATATATGTGTGGTTGTGGACTCATGGATTTGTTAAAAAAATAGTCTTCAATTATTTTAATTAATTTTATGGTTTAATTATTGATAAATTCACTTTTAATTATTATTAATATTAAGCCTTAGAATGTGTGTATTTTAAAAAGGGACTTTTCAAATATTATTTTTATTGAAAAACCCTCAAAATTTTGAAACCCTATATTGAAATTTTGAAGTACTTTGATAATAAGGAAAGTGTGCTACTATAAAATAATGTTAAATTATGATTATAATGTCAAAAATCATAAGTATTGCTAAACGTTTTGAACGACAAACATAAATTCTTATATGTGGCTGGCCATACAATGTGGTCATGGATTGATCTAGGGGCGGGCCTACCCAGGCCATGGCCCGTCCTATGCCCAGAAAATTCAGTTTATATGCTCTATTATTGCCTTTTGTTACATGAAATGTGCTTAGGTGAGATGGTTATTAGGCTTTTAGTATAGCAACTTTGGAATTCTTTTGATAGCCTTTTTATTACTTCATACCATGTATCATGTATGGCCCGCCCTTTCCATATTTTAGAAGCCAAAAAAGTAAGTTTATATTATATTATATTATAATTTATATATTAATTTTAAATTTATATTATAATATGGGTAAACTTAAACTCACTAAACATGTAGCCCATATTCTTTATTTTTAACTAGTGATAGAATAACTTCGCTTATTTTTGTGAGAAACCCTATTATCCCATTGACTCATCATCGTAACTCTTATTATTTAATTAGTTACTCTACTAGCCTTCTGATTCGTGCAATGCAGGATATATAAATATACAATATAAATTTTTATTTTATAATATGTTTTAATTGGAAAATGAATAGTTTATATAAAAGAAGAAAAGGTTACCAATTGAATGTTGTTGTATCTGATATTAAGTTAGGAGAAAGTGAATCATCATACATATATATTCAACTAAAGCTAGTGTTTTTTTTTAATTAAAATGAGAAAGGGGATTGATTAATGAAAATGTGAGGTAACATGTGACATTTGTGAAAAATAAAGTTTACATGTGGCATGATGGGAATGATGGTTTGTGTTTTTAAATACTAATAAAGTATAGAGTATAGCTAGATATGTGAAGTGTCCACACCATATGCCCTAGTTTAATTGTTAACATGGATTATCTTAATTATTAATACTCGTACCACATATCACACATATAGAGATTCATTGCATTCTTAGATTTTTAGTGATGAGAATCTTAGTTATGAAATTAACTTTGTTAAAATTAAATTATTTTTGCTGATGAAATGAAATTAATCTTCCTATACTGAAATCAATTTGACTGAACTGAAATTATTTTACTTATATATATATATATATATATATGTGTGTGTGTGTGTGTGTGTGTGTGTGTGTGTGTGTATCCTCCTCCCACTCCACCTATTGTCTCATGGTCTCCACCTCCTGTCGGTTTTTGTAAACTTAATTTTGATGGTTCTTCCTACCAGAATTCTGCTACTGCAGGTGTGGTCATTCAGGATCACTTAGGAAATCATATTACTAGTCGAACTTATAATTTAGGTTCTTGTCCGGCCTTCCTTGCCAAAGCCATTGCACTTCGAAATGGCCTCCTTCTTGCTAAGGAATTTCATATTTCTAATATTTTTATTGAAGGCGATAATCTTACTGTTATTAATATTTTGCAGGGTCATTTCAGCTGCCTTTGGAAACTTCAGCTTCTTATGGCGGATGTCAAGGCTATTTTGGATTCTTTTACGAATTTTCAGGCAAGACATATCTATCGGGAAGGCAATCGGGCAGCAGACTATGTTGCCTCTCTCGGCTACTCTACTCCGACTCATCAGGATATAGATCCTTTTTTGGATAGTAAATTTTCTTATTTTTTGCTCCTAGATAGTTTAGGTCACGGTCTTGTGAGAAGACGTACCTAAGCTCCCCAATGTATTTTACTATATATATATATATATATATATATATATATATATATATATATATATATATATATATACATATGTATATATATATATTGATTTTTGCTGAATTAAAATAATTTTTGTTGAATGAACTTTTGTAATTTCTAATTAACTGAAATTATTTTTATTAAATTGAAAATATATAACGGATTTTTTTAAGGTAAAAATAACAGTGTCTTACTACAAACTGATTGGGGGTATTCAGCTAAAAAGAGCAGTGTTTTTAAGCATTTAATATCATTCTTTTTTTAGTATTAAGTTGAGAATTTTTCCACAATTCACGAGTAAATCGGTACAATAAATGTTTACTTATTGTGTATTCATTCCACTTTTAGCTTATTATATGCATATACTTCCTCCGCTTCTATTTAGTTGACACGTTCAATTTAGGCACACATATTAAGGAGATGAGAGAGAATGATCAAGTAAGTGGGGTACACTTAAAAAGCAATGTATATAACTTACCCAAAAAAAAAGCGTATCAACTAAAAAAAAACTTACCAAAAAGAAATATGTGTCAACTAATAAAAAACGGATGTAAATATCTTTTTTCTGCTAATTATTCTAAAATAAAGGTTGGAGGAAGTAATATACAAATACAAGTTATTCACAGATTTTCAATGGTGGTATTAAGCATTTATGGCCTTATAGATTCCTTTATTCTATTAATATTGCAATAATTGGACTTTTACACTATTCATCATGCTTGTTTGATCACATATTATTATCTATTCATAGAGTAAAATATAGTCATGTGGGGTCTTTTTAGATTTGCCTCGTAAAATACTTTTACAATATCAATTCTTATAATTTCTACTCTTGTATAATTATAGCTTTTTAGCATATAAAATTTGATTTGGGATGCGTAATTTCATCTATCCTTGTTGTAGTATTTGTAGAACAGAGGAAGTATGCAATAAAGATATAATGTAACTATAGCTTGAATTATATTTTCATGTGACATAGTAATTAGGAAAAATTTTCAAAAATAATACAACTTTAAACGGTCCCTCAAAAATAAGTTTATTTTTTATTTTTTAATAATACAACCTTTGGAGGGTTTTTTCTTTAAACAAGTTATAAAAGTTTATAATGGACACGTGTCAAAACTTTATTGGTTTGATAATTGGTTATACTAAAGGTTGTACTTCTTCTGTTTTTTTTTAATTGGCCTATTTCTTTTATCACACTTGCCGATACATAACTTTAACGATCAATAATTTTAATTTTCTGTAGGTAAGAATTATAAAAGTTATATTATGATAGTAATAATTGAGACAGATTTAAAAAGATCTCACATGAATGTGTTTTTCCTTATATATTATTCACAAAAGACGGTTAGAGGAGGGTGGTGAATAGTGTAAAAGTCAAAGCAGGTCAAGTAAAAAATAATAGAGAAAGTATTATTTAGAGATAATCAAAAGGTTGACTTGTTTTTGTGAACGCTCAAAAGTTGTATTATTTTTGACAATTTTTCCTAGTAATTAAAGCTATTGATGAGCTATTATATTGGTGTCTTACTAATTGAATAATTCAACATTAATTGAAGAGTTAATGAAGACCATTATAAGAATCGTAACAATAGGTCCTGTCAAAAAAAAAAAACAATAGGAACTCAAGCTTAGGCGTATAATTCTGAAACTATATTATTAAATACTCTTTCATAGTCTTAAAAAAACAAGTACAAACTTATGTGAAAGTTATCTTGCTCACCACAACTCAAAAAATATGTTGTGGTGATCACAAGTCACAACTTCACATTTTAGATTTCATACACAAATAGATAAAAATTAAAAGACATAACAAACACTGAGTTTGTCCCTCCCAACATATATGGTGTGCGAAGATTTGAAAAGAAGAGTAGATCCATAATAAAACAGTGGACCACATTCTTCTCACCAATATTATAGGCATATCAAAATAGAAGATTTTTGCCTTAAATATATCTACATAATTAATTACTTAATTAAGTACTACTCAATCATGTTACTTAAATCATAAACCCCATAAAAAAAAATAGGTAAACCCATCTTGTACGTATTCAAGTAATTATAATACTAAAATTAGACCGTCTCACCGGAGTTTGAGCATGCGACAGAGGTTGTCTGTAGCACCGGGATCAACCTCCGCAGCAGCCGCCTCGGCAGTGCAGCTAAGCTTACTTTGCTGCAGCTTCCTTAATGGAAACTTAGGCAAAGGCAGGCTGCTTGGCGGAGGAGATTCAGGAGATATAGTAAATACTGATGCTGATGCTTTACTAAAATACTTCTCTTTCTCATTTACAATTCCATTTTTATGATTCACCGCCTTTAAAACCCGGCTCGCTTCCTTTGGAGTGCTCACCGGGCCGGGTTTCACCCCTTTAGCTGGCCCCACAGACGGCTGATCATTCTCAACTAAGGATGATGATCCGTTCTTCATTATCCCTTTTGTTGTGGCCTTAGATTTATCAGCAACCTCTTTTTTCGGGTTTTTTGTTGGAGTTGTTGATTTCTTTGATGAATTCAGTTTGGTTTTGTTGGGTTGCTTTTTGGGGAGGGAGTAAGGGAGAGAGTGGTTGCGAGTAAGCGGAGGAGGAGGGAGAGAGCGGAAAGCGGGTTTGGAGACGACGGGAAGAGGGAGGAGAGGCGGCTGTTGATGAATCTTTTGATGGTGATAAGCGGATAATGTTGGGGGGAAAGAGGAGTGAGAATAGTGGTTAGGAAAGTGATTCAAAAATACACCTCCAGCAAGTGCATGCACCATCTCCAACTGTACATGAGGCGGAGGTAGTGCATATTTATGAGGTATAGCACCGCAACTCGACTGCCTCAAAATATTAGGCAGTTGAGCTGCTTGGTGCTGGTGTTGGTATTGATGGGGATGATTTTGAAGGTGATAGGTTTTTCTCCTCGAGTTTTTGATTTGTTTAGTAGGATACAGAGACGGCTCATTGTGTAACGACTCCATTACTAATTAGTAAGCTTGTTTGATTCACAATTGGAAAATAATGTGATCATATGGATCGGATAAGTTGCTCAAAAGTTTGATTAGATACGGCTAGGTAATGAATATTCAAAATGGTAAGGAATGAAATTAGGTTAAGGAATGGTATAATAATTAAGCTTGCGCTTAATTTGAGGCTAGTTGCTAATTGCTATGAAAGATTAGCGTAAAAGTTAAAGATGAGAATTATGCCCAAAAGATTAGAAATATGGAGTGTTGGAAATAAGATATGATTGGGTTATGAGGAACCCAAAACTATGGAGGTTTCCATTAGTCTAAGTATCTTTGTTCTATTAAGGTGTCTTTTCAATTGGACAAGACAATGCCTTCTCTTTAAATAGAAGAGATATTATGGTTGTCAAATTTCAATTTATTATATATTATAAATTTATTATAATTTTTTTTTTTTTTTTCATAATGTTCCAATAGCCTACCTCGATGACCTTCTTGTCCATTTATAATTTGTATTTATTTACTTTCTTTGATCAGCCTATCAAAATGCATATTGGTTTTCTTATCTTAGGGTTGGTAGAAGAGCTCATATAGGTCAAATTTAGTTAAATGTCTAAAAAAATATATTAAATCGTCATACAATATTAACACAACGTTATAATTGTCATTCTTTTATATATTGATATAAAAATATTGACAAGTTTTTTGTGTGCATACATGTTGCTAAAATATTATCAATTTGTATTTGAAAGAGAATAAATAATTCAATTATATAAAGAATTAATTCAAACTTTGATAAGAACAATGGTGTTGTAGTTGATAAAAATGAATAGAAGGTTGGCATAAAAAGATTAAAACAAATAACAACTATTGTATACGTTTTAAATTTTTTATTTTATTTTTTTTTTTTTTTTTTTTTTTTTTGAGTGCGAGTAGTATCTAAGAAAATAGAGGGAGTACTAAGTTACAATACTCATGATGACTTGAATTCCTAAAAATGACTTGTGATAATCAAATGTAGTGGATATGTAACTTATAAAATAATGAAAGATACAAAATTATTTTAACTTGATATGTTGTAAAGTACTTGTAATCAAAGATGATATAGCATGCAATATATTTTATATACAACTCAAATAAACAAAAATAAAATAAATTTGGAGTATATACCCAAAAAAAAAAAAAAAAAAAACAACTTTTAAAATGTATACAAGAGTTGTCATTTGTTTTAATCCGCAATCCTTAATAATTACTCTCTTTATTTCAATTTAGGGTCTGTTCTAATTTATTGAAAATAACTAAACTAAATTGATTGGAGCTCAACTGAATTGAACTGATAGAAGCTCAACTGAATTGAACTGAAAGAATTGTTTATGAGAGACGAAAATTAGGAATTGAACTGAACTGAATGGAGATAAACAGAACTGAAATGAAATTAAGCCAAAGAGAACAGACCGTTAGTTTAGACACATTATTTCAAAGTAGATAAGATGTAGATTGAGAATGAAGAATAATTTAATGTAAATAATATCAATAGTCAAAGTTGTGCCTTGCAAATGGCGATAAATTTTTAGCAATTACTCCCTCCGTTTTTAAATACTTGCTTCATTTCTCTTGGACACGCATGCCGATGCTAATCTTCGATCACTAATATCTTTAAGTATCAATAAGTATAAATTCTAACAATTGAAAATTGATAATTTATTCATTGAGATGATTCTAACAAGTACCCACAAGACTATATTTTTTCTTATGTATAAATCACAAACATTAGTCAAAGTAGGACAAATAAATAGTGCAAAAAATAGAAATGAAGCAAGTATTTAAAAAAGGAGGGAGTATTTAATATTTGATAGGAGAAAATTATATAATTCTAAGTTATTTCTAAGTCATCTATCAATTTCGAGAAGATATATTTTCGTCACATATTAAGTTTTTTTCTATTAATCCTTAAAATTCCTATATATAGTATACAAATTATCATGAAATTATTATTATTATTATTATTATTATTATTATTATTAGTTAGAGGAATGGGATTTTTTTTTTTTATAATTTTACAAAAAAAATTTATGACATAAAACCAATTCAATATTGTGATAGGAAAAAATGGGGAAAAGGAAGAAAATGAGATCCATAAATAATGCCCTCCAGTACACGATGATGTCGTATGAGTCATGCATATGATATGTCATGCATCGTACTTTAATTAACTTAGTATTTAAGTAGTATCTTTCCTTTTTAATAATTCCATAAATTTCATTTTAAAAAAAAATCGTATAGGTAAGGTAACCGACAAATGCAATGTGGGTCGGCTACTAGCAAATCCAAGATCGGGGGGACACATTTCTCAGAGGGGCGGCAGCCGCCAAATCATTTTTGACCATTCGATTTTATTTTATCAAATTTCATTTCCATTTTTTCATTTTACTTTTTTGCCGTTGGACTAATTTTGACCGTTGATGCTCCGTCCTTGAGATGGGCATACGATTTATCGGAGTTTTATTTGTATGGGGTGTTTCATCTTCGAGTCTTTTGAGGTGAGAATCATTGAATCATTTTTTTGTTGAGTTATTGTCCGGAATTTTTTTTTTCTTTAATTAATGATTTTGGCTCATAATAAATAGATGAATATTGCTAAAGAACGCCCCGGGACGTTGGATAAGCATTTAAAATATTGACTAAAATGATATTAATTTGGGAGAACATGATAAAATTCCGCGTCAATCGGTGTAATTAATGTTCATTTTAATTTAATCTTTCTATTTTAGTTTATCCAACGTCCCGGGGTGTTCGTTAGCTTTTGCCTAAATATATATATGAGTATAATATTACATGTGCATTATATTGTTGTGCAATATTAGGACTCGTTCTCTTCATCTGAAACGAGTAGATCTAGTCTAATTTTATAAAGGTCGGTCTGATCTGAATTTTTATTATCTAGTCTGGTTTGATTTAACAATTTGACTAAAATTTTGTCGTAGTTTCATACTAATCTACAAAGAAAAACATTTTCAAAATGGATCTTGTTAGATTCGTCTCATTATGAACTTTTCAAATATGTAATTTTTATATATTTTTTTTAATATGCAGTGTTGTTTAAATGAATACTACAAGAAGGGGGAGTTGAATTGTAGTATGAGAGTTTAGCCAAAAATTTTGCGGAATTAAACTAAATAAGCTAAAGGAACAGAAAGATAAACTGAAGGAACTGAAAGATGCAAGAGAGATTTTTACGTGGAAAACTCCTTGGCCCTAACAAGGAGAAAAACCACGACCACCTGGGATTTTGGGAAAAGAATCTTCACTAGAATAGGTCAAATGGTCCTATTACAAACTAAAGACTCAAACTTCAAGTTCCTATATGAACTTGAAACCCCGAGGAACAAGTCGCCCAACTTGTCACTCTTCTCTTTCTCTCTTCTCACTTCTCTCTTCTCTTTCTATTCTCTTTCTCACTTCTCTTTCTCATACAAAGAAGTTTACTCAAACTTCCCCATTCCCCAAATTACAACTCGAAAGAAAAATAAACTCTAGTATAAGAACATTAAAAACACTCTATTTAACTTATGTGGAATTGGACTCTTAACTCGAATTAAAGCTTGAAAACTTATGTGAGCAAGGGTGATTTTTCCAACAGAAATCAAGAACTATTTATAGAGCAATAAACGTTTTGGAAAAATCTCTTTGTGCAGCATTTCTATTGCGCCACTACTCCAACCCACTAAGAAGATCATGTTCCTAAAATTAAGGAAGCATGAACTCCTCAATGTGCAAGACAATGTCTTGAAGAAGAACATGGGAGAGTAGGCCACAAGTTTTGGAAAACATGGGAGATTTTATTTGCAAAAGATATTTTTGAAAATCAGAAATAAAATAAAATCTTTTTGGTTAAGAAAAAGATAATCATTCAAAACTTAACAGTTTTCCTAAAAACTAGCATGCACAATATTTTATCCTAAGACCAATTCCACACAAATTTTTTCAGAGTGTAACTAATTTCTTATACTTACGTAAATCCTAAAATATAAAAATATATTTAGTTTTCATGATTCTCTGATGAAACTTCTACTTCGAGGCTTCTGTTCCTTGGAAGGAACTTCTCTTCTCTGGTGAGGCTTCTCCTGTGAAGCTTCTGTTCCTTGAGGGGAACCTTCTCTTCTCAAGTCTTCATTTCTGAAGCACCAGTTCCTATAAAGGAACTCGTCTTTATGGATAGCTCTGTTTCTGGCTTTCCTGTTCCTCATGGTAACTTTGCATAGCACTTAATTCTCCTAGTCATTGTATCTGACCACACACTTAAATAATCAAGCTCTTATTAGTATATAAGCAAGTGAGGTTGTGTCATCATCAAAATCATTAAGTCCAACAATATTCCCCCTTTTTTATGGTGACAAACAAACCAAACTTACTTACAAGGAAACAGAGATAATCCAACCTATTCTAAAAGAAAGAAAATGCAAATGTAGAAAGGAAACTAATAAAAACAATGCTGAAATAAACAACTTAAGGAGAAACTTGAAAAACTGGTATATACATTATACCTGCCTGTAGAGAGTAGGCAGCTTGTGAAGATTTCGAATAGAGACCATAGAATGATTAAGTTTCCTTGATAGTTTGCATCTTTTCCCCCTTTTGGCATTATCAAAAACCAACATACAAGCATATAGTATACCATAACATAGCACCATCTAGTGGTTTTAGTGTTAAGACAAGAAGCATGCATAGAGAGAAAACATTCACAAAGCATATATGCAGAATATACATAGACATTAATCATCCAAAACAGATTGAAAACATCAGCCAAATTTACCAAATTTTCAAGTTCACTAAAAGAAATTAAAAAGTGCCCAAAATATTACAGACCAAATTAAAAATTGTTTCCCAAAAACAAATAAAAACAGAGTTTAGTCAACATAGATAGGCTGCAAGGAAAAACAGGTTAGGAAGCAATGCTCTTGTCATCATCAACAGCAAGATCCTCCAGCTTCTTGCTGATTTCAGACACGATG